AACAATAAAGGATAACATAAGTACGCTGGTAGCTAGGGCTGGGCGTCAAATAAAATTTTTAACCTGATTAATCACCACTCTTTAATCGAATAATTAATCGATTAATCGGTCTCGTTAATTTCCATGCATACTGGTTAAACTTTTTTTGTTTTGCTTTTGTTGAATATGTGATGAACAATATAATTTAGATTATGAATCATCCTTGATGTGCAGTTGAGAAAAATTCAAAGATACTTACACTCACAGATTATGACTTCCGTTGCATGAGGCAAAGAGATTCGTTGTATTCTCCGGCAAGACCGACCTTCTTCGATTGTTCGCAATAGTCTCCGCTGAACTAAACGCACACTCGCGCGGCATTGAAGTGGCCGGTACACGTGTACCTTCTGCCCCTCGTCTGGAGTTACAAATCTCGCTCCTACAGTTCTCTTTAGGTTAAACATTTACCTAAAGTATGCCCTTCATACGGGCTTACTCGTCCACGTCTGCTTGGTGAAAGCGTTTAATTTTTACTTCCTTTTGGTTCGTCAAAAGTTTACCGATTAATCGGTTAAAGATAATTTCGATTAAACTATTAATCATTAATCCGTACGTTAATATATCATTTGCCCAGCCCTACTGGTAGCACGTTATTGTGCTCCAGTCAACAGTCGACTGGAGCAAAGTCACCAAGAAATAAAACGGGCACAACTTGATCCGTCGTGAGAAGGAGATTTGTTTCGCAAGAGATAAAGGCATCCCACTCATTCAAGAACCTCACTTCAACAAACATGTTTACTACCTGCTGAATAGAAATCGAAGATGTTACCATCATAAACGCGGAATCATAATAAAAATCCCCGCGAAGTTAATTATTTTGTGGCTCTGACGTCAGATGACCTGCATGGTGGGCGAAGGGATCTAAGCGCCAATTTTCCCCGGTGGGTTTTTGTTTGTCTATTTTGTGCGGCTTCCTATTGTGCTCTAGTCCATTTGCTCTGTTGCTTCCTACTATGAACTTTAACAATTTCCCCGAAGGAATCAGACGCAAAACTGCTCAATAATGCACTCGACGCAGTTGTCGGTCCACATGAAAGAACCAGGTATGCACACGGTACCTGGTTCGTACTGATATGAGATTTGCTACGTTCCATCATCGAATATACTGTTGTTACATTTCTATCTTGTTTTCCAACGCATTGCAATCTTCATGTGCTTAATTAGAGAACTCTGAGCTACTTTGCCGAACACACAACCTGGCCGCTCTCAAGATGCAATGCTGTTGGTTTTTAGTTGTGGTCATTAATTTGATACATAGCCACACGTACTGGTAATACGGAAATGTGAACAAGTCCCCTTGAAACAACTCCCAGAAATTTAATATTTATAGCGGCTGGATTAACGCTGTATTCGTCGTCCTTCTTCCACCCCTGATTCAGGGTCCAAGGAACGTTTACGGCAGCAAACATAAATACACAGGACGTATGTAAACGAAAAAAAATCACCTTTTCAAGCTTCCACTGAGCGAAAACAAAACGGCAAGGCATATGAAAAAAAAAGAAGAAAAAAAGTGAACCGTTAACATGCTATTTTCTTAGTTTAGTAACATTATATTGAATGTCGCGAAACGTTCAAAAGTACACTCGAGATACTCCGCCGTGTAGCTTTCTGTAATTTAAATTAAATTTGGCATTAGACCCACTAACATTTTTGTAACGTTGTTGGGCATGAGGTCACATAGTACAACTAGATCAACAAAACGACACCGCAGGGTACCAGAGTTTGTTTTAGAAAGAAAAATATTTTGGGAAAATTACCGATCTCATTGCAACCAAAGTGTGCCCACCTTGATCAAACCTACATTTTTTTTTAATTATTTTTATTATAGATGCCTAGACGAAAGTTGGTTTACTATGAGATAAAATGTATCTCTTCATTGAGCACATTTGTTTCTTTCCAGTTACTTGAAGTACAAAGACAGACAAGACGTGCCCTCTTCAACCGGTGCCTTTTGCATGCATCGTATCATGTCTTCGAATACTGGAAAGTTTGCGTTCAGAGTATCTTTAGAGTGTGGTATTTATATTTTGAATCGTTCACAGGGCTTTCTGCACGTGGACTTATCGTTTTCGAAAGCGAATCGGGGTGTACAGTCCCCATCAAACTTATACGGAACACGCGAACTGTGTTTTCTCACGGAGACGCTATCCTGGAGGCAGCAGAACAATGCTCCGTGAGGTAGTGTTTTGAGGTGCTCCACTGAGTGGCTACGTCAAACAGCCGTTGCTTGGCCTCCGCCAGGAGAGCACTCCTATGACGAAGGACAGAGTTCGCGTGTTTTATGTAAATTTGGTGAATCCTGTACGTATTCATCAGGATGTCGAAAGAATCATGGCATCACCGGACTTTCTAAGCCTGTGTAGTGTGATGATAATGCAATTAATGCAAAGGTGCAAGCAAGCTGGACAAGGATGACGAAAATAGTCCCTGGAGAAGAGAAAACAAGTGGGACAAAGGACAAACACAAATCTCCAAACATAGCTAGCTGACTGTTGTGAGACCGAAAAAATCCGCCTGGTCCTGGTATCGAATCGGGGACCTCTCCATTTCCAGTGGAGCTCTCTACCAACTGAGCTAACCAGGGGTTAGATGTCAGTAGAGCAAACAGATTTTATCAGCTGCCACTAGTCTAGCACCAACAAGAGTGAACGGCTTGCATTTTTAAGGTTATGATGATAATGCAGTTAAATGCAAAGGTGCAAGCGAGCTGGACAAGAATGACGAAAATAATCCCTGGAGAAGGAGAAACAAGTGGGACAAAGGACAGGCACAGATTTCCAGTCACAGCTAAATGACTGGTGCGCGACCGAAAAAATCCGCCTGGAAATGGAGAAAAAATCTACTGGAAGTGGAGAGGTCCCTTGTTCGATACCAGAGCCAGGCGGATTTTTTCGGTCGCGCACCAGTCAAATAGCTGTGTTTGATGATTTGTGTTTGTCCTTTCTCTCCCCTCTTTCCTCTTCTCCAGGGATTATTTTCGTCATCTGTGTAGTGTATTTTAAGGATATACTGTCCATATTACGTTGCAGCATCTGAGTGCTTTTCTTCCATTTAAAACCGTAATACAGCACTCTTCCTTTTTGAAGGCAGAAATGAGCATATTTATGGTATTGGGAAAGCCGTAACCACCAAGAAGATAGTAAAGAAATACCTCTCCTCTTGACGTCCTTGCAATACAATAGTTGAAATCAGGGCCGGCCTTACACCATCAAGCGCCTTGGGCAAACAACAAACGTGGCGCTTCCCCCCCCCCCCCCCCCCCCTTCCTTTTATACGGCCCTGTCGACTGGGTACAACATCAGGTTGTTAATGAACAGATGAATTGTGGCCCAGCACGAGCGTTTTGTCAGACGAGAACAGTATTCCAAAAACGAACGGTGATCGAGCATATACATACTCATTGCTTGTCAACAAGCTCGTTTGCCCACAGGAGCTGTGGGCACTGCGCATACTCATGAACCCGTTTGAGCAAGAAAGCCATCTGCGCGGGCGCAGTCCCACATGCAGCGCCACCGCTTCTGCATGACGTCAGCAAGTTGAGTTTGTGTATAGCGTCGTGTCGGGCGCCGCGTTTAAATAAATCAAAAAGCAAAAAAGAAATTCAAAAGGGGGCGCGGCGGCGCCGCCCTTTTGATGGCGTCCTGTAGGACTACCCAGGTCACCCACCCCTATGACCGGCCCTGGTTGAAATACTGAAACTTCATTTTGCAATAATGTAAAAATAAGCTAGAAAGATGTAATGTGATACCTTAATGTAAAACCAGTATGGGAACACTGAGTTTATATTTTACTTACTGATATGACAAAACAGAAAACAAATCGAGAAATTTTGTGCACTGGAGGAACTCCTGCCGTACGTTGAATAAACCATAGGTTCTAGAACTTACCAGTAAGGGAACCAATGCTCTAAGATAAAGCTCAAGTTTTGAGATCACACGTGCGGGGCTCTTGATGCCGTTACCCCCAAAGTTACGCGGACGTCGACTGGTGAACTCGCCCGACTCACTGATTCAGGTATGCAAACAATAAATATCCATTATTCCGTTGTGGGAATGCTCCCGTGCGTCATTATGTCAGGTTTTTATTTTTGTTTGCTAAACAAGACAAAGTATATTGATACTGATCAATACACACTTTCTCAACAATGTTGTGGGTGCTTTGTTTTCATTGCCTTCCTATCAGCGTTTTGTAGTTCTTCTGACACAGAAACATTCACGGATAAAACTAGATCACCTCAAGATCCGAGTTCGACAGTACTTCGAACGAAAAGGTTCTAAGGACGGATTTAAATGTGACTCATTAGCGTGCACTCTCAGCTAAAAAGTGGCCGTCAAGTGTATTAGCCCGCATAACATTGAGTGGCGAAGAGACTTTGTCCACTTCCAACAATTCTAAGATCTATTGGATAGAAACGGGTTCCTTATTGTGGCTACCAGGGGAGGAAACCGCACCTCTGCATTGACACTCTTACACGATACCCGTTTCTTTAAGATTTGCCCCAGCTGCACGGCCACACAGATGCCTTGGAGGCCACGGTGTGACCATGTTAGCGATGTGGGCATTTCATAGGATAAATATTAGCAACGTCTGCAATGGTTCGTTCAGTATAATGGTCCTCAGCCTGACTTATATTAGCCTCAGAGATTTTATGATAAATTTCCAAAAGTGCGGATAGCAAACAAGCCGCACAAAATAAAACCGTATTTCGAGTGCAAGCCCTGTAAGAAAACATGCTAAACAATTGTGTATGCACATTTTATTAAAAAAAAGAAGAAAAAAAACTACAAAAAACAACAGGAGAACGTTTTTTTAGTAGGGGTTACCCAAAAAATAAGATTGTTTAGGGACTGTCCCGGTACAATGATTGTTGACAGTAATTACATTAGTTGAACATATTGCTTTAGACGAAGCACAACGCGATTAGTACCAAATCAAGCTGTACGTACTTATGTACTCCTCACCTGCAAGTGCGATGTCCATATTGTCAGGGCTTCCTAGTAGAGACTGTCCATGAACATTAGACGAACTGGCGGAATACGCTGAGGGCCCCAGGTCCGGTGGCAAACTCTGCATCTGCGAAACCGGACTCGGCACCGGGCTCGGGGGAGGCTGCTTTATGTAGGGTGCCCCGTGACCGGCGTGGGGTGGGCAGGTACCCCACCCGGCCATGGGCTCCATTGTGATGCTCGACGGCGTTGCGCTGTATATCGAAGAGTTCATAGAAAAATCCGAGCTCTGGCTGGCCATGGACGTCATGGACTGCTGGAGTGAGCAGTTGGTCAGGTAGTGGTGCCCTACTGCGCCCAGCGTGTTTTGACCAGCTGACGTGAAGCTGCAGTGCGATGTCGGGGTCAGAGCGTTTGAGGATGACGACATCATGGATTGTGGATCTGCAGTGATGTAGGCTTGGTGGTGTCCTGCTGCTATTTGAGCGTGGCTAGGAAGGGATCCGGACTGGTGCTGTGGTTGGCTGAGAAGATCATAAGGCGAAGGTGAAAGAAGACCGCCGCTTGAGGCAGTCGGGTAGTAAGTCGTGTAAGGCTTCATCGTCTGGTATTTCCTTCTAAACCCACGCGGTCTCCGTCGGAAGGACCCTTCTTCAAACATCAGTTCACTGCTGGGGTCGATAGTCCAGTAATGTCCCTTCCCAGGACGTCCCAGGCCCTTGGGGAGCTTGATGAAGCACTCATTTAGAGACAAGTTGTGTCTGACGGAATTCTTCCATCCTTGGTAAGCTCCACGGAAGAACGGAAACTCTCGTTGCAGAAAGTTGTAGATTTCGTTCAAGGTTAGGCGCTTGGACGGTGAGCTCTGTATAGCCATGACTATAAGAGCGATGTACGAGTAAGGAGGTTTCTCTTGTCGCCTGACGCCTGCTCCCGATTTCTTGGTGGTAGACACAACCTTTTCCTCAGAGTCAGGCTCATTTGTCGTCGTCAAAGTGGTGCCGCTGCTGGAGCTGCAGCTCACCGCAGGCATGCTAATTGAAAGTTGATCGAGGCGGACATGTTCGCAGAGTTGATTTGGATCGTGGCTGCTATCCATGGGGCTGGGCATTGGCATTTCGACCTTGACCATCTTCATCATAAAGCGACGTCACTGCACAAAACACTGCCACAAACCGTTCCGTGACGCAAAGCTGGCTCGATCGCTACTCCAAAGCGTACTCACGATGCGGGGGCAAAGCTTACGTCATTTTCAACCTCATTTTGCCCAATCACGTAGTCTTCAAGGCGTACTGAGGGCAGTCCGATGCGGCGCAGTCCGCCACCGCGAAGCGTCGAGAACATTCGGTCGGGGTTCGAGCGATCCCTTCGGAGAGCGTCGTATATACGGCACGCGGAGCAGCTCGAGCGAGGTGCGCGAACACACAAAAAAAGCCTGGGGCGAGCTTGCTTACTGTTGAGGCGATTGTCTGGCATGGAGTGAGGGGAGGCTGCTCAAGAGCGGGGGAGGCAAAAAAAGATAGAAGAGTGCAAGGGGCGGGCTTTCCCCACATTGGTTGCGAGGATAATCGTAAATCAGGACGGACCGCAGGCGAACGTCTCCCTCGAGTGGGCGGACGCCTCGGGGGAGGGCGCAGCGGCTCGCGCAGGCTGTCGCAGCCCCAGAGACAAGAGAGATACCCAGCATCGGGCCGTTCAAGCGGCCTCGGGCCTTTTTTTTTTTTTTTTTTTTTTTTCTGCCGGAGTTTGTGCCCAGAAGGTTGTGCTGACGCAATCAGAGGATGGGCCGAGTTGCGTGCCCAAGTCGTCACCCCGGCGCACGGGCTGTGCGCCTCGTGCCGCCGCTGCAGCAGCGCCGGCGTCGTGGATGCCGATAGAAAAAGCTTTCGTGGATTTTGTCTTATTGATTGCGTCACTTCGATTCAAAGGCGCAGACTCTGAGTTTGTGTAACAGTGGAATGGGACCTAACATCCGTGTATGCTTGATTAATTGCACTGAGTTCGGAAGGAAAACGTCCTGCAGATTGTGAAATCGAAAAACAGATAGGGTGTATCCATGTTGTTTTTGTGTTCGTGTTTGGTTCATGGCAGTCAATTAACTAGTATTTCTTCAACGTTTACATTCTTTTTTTTTTAACTTTTTTTTACAAATGGCATTGGATAATTCCGGTAATTTGTGCAATACGGTACCCCTATATTTTGTTTTGCTCGTAGGTTTTTCTATTGGATGAATGATCTTAAGAACGGGCTGCAGATGGCAGGAAGGACACGATGAATAAATAAACATCTACGAAAGAGACGTGACCACGCGTGCATATCTTTCATCTAACAATATAGGTATAATACTTTCAAAAGGGCATCAACAGTAACCAACCCACAAGTTGAAGAAGGGAATGAAAGCAGAGACGAAACAAAAATTAATTGGCAGGAAGAGATGATTACTGTCAGCTGATCAAGCAGGAAGAGATCAAAGCAACCATGTCAGTTCTTACATTGAGAAATAAAACCTCTGCCTTCATCGAGACGAATGGCGGCGCGGAAGCATTATTGACAAAATTCCCGACTATATGACGAAAGACTCAAGATTTTCTCGCCCTCACTATGTTGGGTTAGAATTACTTGGAGAGGCTAAAGTATCTTGATACTGTCTGTTAGAAGTAATTACAACCAGCGCGAATGACGAAGCACATTTCGCAGGAACAAAATGGCCTTCTTCAGTTTATTCTATTGCTGTCCGCCGCCATTCGCTTCCGAAACCCACGTTGTCACGCAGTCGACGTGTCAAAGACTGCCGGTACTTGTAACACTAAGAAGCGCAAAGAGCGAATTCTATATAGTAACTGCAGAATATACAGTGTGCTGATCACTAGCTTTGCCCAAAGGTCGAGAGCGGTCCCGCGATCATACCTACAGCACCCCAACTGCACTCAGTCGTGAATTCTCGCCTTTCCACTGTCGTTCTTCCACTCTTGACCGCACACCCTCGCTCGCTGAGTAGAAGTGCAGGGTGGCGCTGCTATCGACTTAGAGATGACGCTCCGAGGTGGAATCGAGGGACCGGTCTCGTTTGCACTACCGTCACACCTCCTTCTTTTAGCCCACCATGACCATGCCTCCACCTGCGCACTGTCGAAATTCTAGTCGCCTAGAATCAAAGGAAATAACAACCGACATAGGCGGGATAGAAGAGCAATACTGTGAGGGGATTCATCAGAGGTTCGTATAGCTTCCACGTCTTGTATTATTTTCGTTTTTTTTTTCATCACATGCTTGTGCCATTAAATAAATAAAAAAAAGAAACCGATACTATTATTCCAAAATTAGAGCTGAAGAACTTTGGTTAGTTTAGCAATTTGTTCACACTACAGATTGTTCTTAAAGCTATTTGAAATATAATTGATACCTAATAACCTCAAATCCAAGATAATTTTACTGAAACTACACGGCGCCTGGAACAACTCTTCTACCGGTGTATTTACCGTCCCATACCTTCCATGCATCGAAAGTTGTCCTGAGGGGCAAGAAATCGCGTCAGAGGAGCAGGCGTACCTCATGCTGTCAGATGTCGCGATCCTGGCGGTTGTTCGTAAAAGTGCTGGAGAACAAGGCGGGCGGACGCAAGGGTCGTGTCGTCGCGGCCTCCCGTCTCGTGTCTGCTTCGCTTTTCGTCGACTGTCTGGCAGCAGAGCAAACTACACCAGAGCACGGGCGTCAGGCGCATCCACTTCCGCCGCTGTTCTACCGCAAGGATCGCGGCAGTCAACAAATAAAATAAAAATTGTTTAACATTCATTTTTGCACGATGTCGGAGACCGGGTGTACAGGTAAAAACTAAAAAGTCACCAAAATGCGACTGACTGGGTCTGCACTCCCCCCCCCCCCCCCCCCCCCCCTTAGAGAGTACAATACAGGCACGTAGCCAGGATTTTGTTGGTGGGGGGGGGGGGGGGGGCACCCATGACAAAATGCTGTATGAGGGGGATGGGGGAGAGGAGGACCCATGCAAAATAGAAGATTTCGGGGGGGGGGGGGGGGGCGGGCCCCCTGGGCCTCCCCGCTGGCTACGTGCCTGGTACAATAGTTAGGTAAAAAAGATTTGGTACACAATAAACACGATACAGAAAATGCGTGTTAAAATATACAGCGAGCACATATAGAAAAAGGGCATAAGCAAAGTTGGGTAGGTGATAACTTATAAGTGAAAAAAAAAAGTTTGAGGCCCAATGATTGAGAGAGTTGAGTAAGGATATCAATGTGAATGACAGCGATTGATTTCTATTGTGAGTGAATGTGTGAGGAATGTACCACGTTTCACTTTGGCGAGTGTTATATTTTGCAGTTTTTCATTAAGTTCGATAATTGTAAGATAAAGTTGATTTTTTTTCTGCGTAATATCGCTTGGGCAATGTGCTAATATATAGGGATTGAAGAGTATAGATTGCAAGGTTTCTGAAAATTGGTACTGAATTAGCATTGTATTTCGAATTGGAAATATCGCGCATAGCTTTCCTTTCCCTAGTGAGAAAAAAAAAAAGTTTATAAATATTAGAGATGATAGTTTTCCCACGACTAAATTGCTGTATAGCTAAGGTGCGAAAGGACCAAAACGAGTTGTAAATTAACAAGTATATGTTACCGGGAAGAAAGAGAAAAAAAAAAAACGTAGTCCTGTAAGAGCACCAACAACGCGAGCAAGTTTGTTACCAACCATATCAATATGTTTGTTCCAAATGAGATTCTATTTGAAAAAAAAAAAAAGCCTCAAAATTTTTACTGAAGTTACTCCTGATGGTACCAATCACAAGGCTTTCCTTTATATTTTTTTACCATTTTTAGGCCTGAAAAGCACAGCCTTGAATTTACTTGTGTTGATTGTTAATAAATGAATGTGGCCCATGTGTCTAGCTTACTCAACACATCATTTTACTGACCTATTAAATCCTTAACACCAGTAGAAGCAAAAAATAGGCTTCCGGCGACGGCATAACCTACAAAATGTGTATTATCGTCAAGGTTTATGATGCCATTGTAACACCATAAGCACAAAGTGGCAATTTTCGAGTATTATTTGTGTCAGATAAAGGAGAAATCAGCGATAACAAAAACAAACTCCAGTGGTGGGTTTCGCATTGTATACATGCTTTCCTTCAAATTGTATATAAGTTCTTTTTCAGATTAACATTTATGAATATATCGTTTCAATAATATATATTTATTCTTAGTCCACCTGCTTGATTAATTATATGATAACTGCGCTGTTCTTGAATAGAGAAATAAGGCAATTCAGACAGGAGTCTCCGCCTCGCGTGGTACTTGTCATTATTGAGGAGAGCGTAATACTTCATTTCAACGTTCACTAAAAAAAATACAATTATACGTTTGTCAGTTCTAACCGAGATTGGTTCTTGTAAATTTATTCCCGAGACGACATTTCGTTGAACAGAGTGAAACGCCGATCTTTTTCACGTTAGCCTGCCATCGTCTGTAGAATCTTGTTGAAGCTTTGAAGGGTTGTAGGCTTCAGCAGTTTCCACGGCACTCTCAATATAATGCTCTTTCTGCAGTACTTAGTATAAAATTTAGACATATGTTTTCTTTACTAAAACGCAATATGACCTACTCACTGTCAATATTACCCGCCCCAAAAACTCCATTAATCTAATGAAGGCATTCACTTGGTTGTAATAAACGCTTTCGCGGTTGCTCGGCCATTTGAATTTGAAGTTACAATGACTTGGTGGCTGCACGTTTCTTCACCGCGAAACAATTTTACGTGAATCAATTGGCCGGATACAGGAAACACCTCCTATGCAGCTTTCAAGCGTGTGCGTCACGTGACATGACGTCACGTCCCGGAGGCCTGCACGGGCGCTGATTGGATTCGAGTGCCGCGTCAGCCTTCGCGTGGGACTATGATAGGAAACGAGTCCCACGGCGAACGCTGACGCTGCACTCGCATCCAATCAGCGCCCGTGCAGGCTTCCGGGACGTGACGTCATATCACGTGACGCGCAGGCTTTGAAAGCTGCCTAGGAGGTGTTGATACAGGCCGGTTGATCAGCCCCAGCACGTCCCATGCAAATTGCCTCACATTCTTAGGTCAGATTATTTGTCTCAAATTTAAACGAAAGATATGACTGACGTATAGTGTAACGCATTAAAACTTGGATTCGGGCTAGTTGGTCAACAGGACAGGCGCTAACTCTCAACTGATTTTATTAGGAGCCATCGTCACTTATACAAGATACGCACTAATTTGCACGACCTGAATCACGACCTATAACCACTCTTAGAAAAAGTCAGCCAGAAAAATCACATATTTTTTTTTTTAAATAAATAAATAGAAGGTGTGATAACGCAATTGTCATCTGTCTTTTTGATACAAAAATCTTTTATAATCTCCCTCTCAATTTTATTTGTTGCTTTCTTATCTTTGTTTATTTCAAGCCAGGATTGCAGCCACATT